GTCACAAATAGAACTGCCCGGTAAACCGTAGGCAGAGAGAGAGAAGAGGACAACAAACGAGGGGCTGTGACAAACTGTTTCGTCGGAGTTTCACCGACTCATCAGGAGGCTGAACCCTATATATATATATCGTCAAATAGATATATACAATATATAGACATAGAATAATAGAAGGGACCATAAATTATAATTACAATACTTACTTATGTGTCCCGTGGTAATTGAACCCTGTAGCATCTGGCTTGGCATGGGCCCACATGAGCTGGACATCTCGCTGGTTCGGCGGAACAGAGCCATCGTCCACCTGTCTTGTGAACCTGTTCCGTCCAACACCATACATTCATTCAGGGTTAGCATGTGAGCGATGTCAAATTTTCCCCTTTTTTTTTTTTTTTTTTAGGGGGGGGGACGGGAGCCATGTCAAACTTTTGAGTTAGTTCAGCATGAAATTTGACAGGTGGTATAAACAAGACCACAAAAAAAAAAAACAAATGTCAGCAGATCCAACACACGTAAAAAGATTGAATGAATAGCCGATATTGAACTTCCAATTGCTTGAGCATTACATTCGACAGGTTGTATAGACAAGACACACAGACAAAAAAAAAAAAAAAAGTGAGCATGCGGTCATAGTAAAGCAATGCCTGCACCAAAATGAAGATGAAAGTTTGATGAACTGAAATTGCTTTTGAAATTTCACATATGAATGTACGGTTGGGATCTTATTGATCGCCTGTTCGATGGTCGCAAAAATAATGAAGAGCAAAGTCCGAACGATCCGAAAGAGAAAAAAGAAAAGACGGAGATTGGGGGGGGGAAAGGGGGGAAGGGGGGTTGTCACAGGGTGTAAGAACGAAAAAACAAAAAGTAAAAAAAAAAGGTTCTGTCACTCTGTGAGGGATCCTTTGTCCCGTAATTAAACAGAAAAATCGATGATTTCTTAATTTGAAAGAAGGTTTAAGATACAATAAGAAAAAGTCTAAAAACTTTTCTTTTTTCTCCCTTTTTCAGAAGAAGATTATAAGAAACAAAAAAGTGATAAAAGAGAGAGTAATAAATAGCAAGCAATAAAGATTTTTCACGATCCATTGGTTGTTTGCAGTTCTCGTGGCAGACGATACTTTAATAACAAAAATAAGCAGCCATTACAAATAGAACACAAACAGTCAGCAGCAGCAGCAGCAGCAGCAGCAGCAGCACGGGACCATTGGCAAACGATCGAACCTTTAGGATGAAAAGACAGCAAAGATACATTCGATTAGACCATCAATGATGCCGAAATACAAAAGGGGGCTCCTTTGCTAACCAAAAGGGAAAATGTTGAAGTTTACAAAGTCTAACTGACAATCTCCTCCCTTCCCTCCCTCCCTCCCTCCATTCCTTCCTCCCTCCCTGCCTCCCTCCCTCCCTCCCTCCCTCATCCCTCACTCCCTTCCCGCCTTCCTTCCTTAAACTTTACAAATTGTAACTGACAATCTCCTCCCTTCCC